CCTAGCCCCCGGGAGCAGCTACGACCTTCACCTAGGCTCCGGGAGCACCTACGACCTTCACCTAGCCCCCGGGAGCAGCTACGACCTTCACCTAGCCTCCCCTTCTACTCACACTCTCCAACTCCTGACCGAGGCGCAGCTCTATTATTCTGGACTTTAAACCCGCTTGAACAATCAGGCCAGAAATGATAGTGCATCACAACTTACACTCGAGAAGGTTGAAGGACTGGTGTTGGTGGTGGAGGAGATGGGTGTTGCTGTACCGCAACACCCCCATTGTGGTCCACACCCTGTGTGTATCGTCACGTTGTGTAATGTACCGTCGAATTATCCACTGTACCGGGATTGTACCTGGATAGGGTTCTGGGAGTTCTTCTCCTCCCCAAACCGGCCCGAGGCCTGGTTTGACTTGTGAGAGTTTGGTCCACCAGGCTGTTGCTTGGAGCGACCCGTAGGCCCACATACCCATCACAGCCCGGTTGGTCCGGCACTCCTTGGAGAAAACTATCTAGTTTCCTCTTGAAGATGTCCACGGTTGTTCCGGCAATATTTATGCTCGCTGGGAGGATGTTGAACAACCGTGGACCTCTGATGTTTATACAGTGTTCTCTGATTGTGCCTATGGCACCTCTGCTCTTCACTGGTTCTATTCTGCATTTTCTTCCATATCGTTCACTCCAGTACGTTGTTATTTTACTGTGTAGATTTGGCACCTGGCCCTCCAGTATTTTCCATGTGTATATTATTTGGTATCTCTCTCGTCTCCTTTCTAGTGAGTACATTTGGAGATCTTTGAGAATATCTCAATAGTTTAGGTGCTTTATCGAGTCTATGCATGACGTACATGTTCTCTGTATTTCCTCTATTTCTGCAATCTTTCCTGCTCTGAAGGGGGAAGCGAGTATCGAGCAGTACTCAAGACGGGACACTACAATTCCCGCCAAACACACACCAAAACTACGACGTTGGTACAACGTTCAAAACAAGTTTTAACACCTCCTAACCAGTTATAACAACCAATATAGCAAGTTGTAACAACGTTCTAATACGTCATAAACACGTTAAGCCAAGACGTAACAACTTTATTACAAGTTGTAACAAGCAGAAAATAAGAGACAGTTTCGGTTTGTGTTTCCAGGAAAGTGATTTGAATAGTAGCACCCATGATGCACAGACACTGTACACCCCTGGACTTGAAGGTGTCCTTACACTCCTCCTCCCTCGCGCCGCCCCAACTCCCGCTTCCTCAACCAATCTTCAACATGTTCTCCAACACACACAATCGCCGCAGAGATAATTTGGGAGGCCACACATCTTCTTCCCTATTAAGATTATACCATTTGATATCGCTTAAAGACAAGTGGATCGCTGAGGTCTCGGCAACTCCAACTGATCAGCAAAAACACAAACTGGCAACCACCAGTCTCCCGGAGCATCCTCTCGGAGGGACGAACGGAGGAACGGAGGTCTGAGGAAGACGACGGCCTCCTCCAGACCTCAGCTTCCCGGAGGTGGGTCTTGCTACTTGCTATTGGAGGGCCTCGTAGCCTGGTGGATAGCGCGCAGGACTCTTAATTCTGTGGCGCGGGTTCGATTCCCGCACGAGGCAGAAACAAATGGGCAAAGTTTCTTTCACCCTGAATGCCCCTGTTACCTAGCAGTAAATAGGTACCTGGGAGTTAGTCAGCTGTCACGGGCTGCTTCCTGGGGGTGGAGGCCTGGTCGAGGACCGGGCCGCGGGGACACTAAAGCCCCGAAATCATCTCAAGATAACCTCAAGAAGAAGATACACGTGGCTCTCACCACGCTCTACTCTACAGCCCTGATAAGTCCCACTCTAGCCACCAAGACAGTACGGAGCTTCATAAGGGGCACACAGCGACGGTGATGGACTGCCCTTGGCAAGTGCTCCATCTTGTTGGGATAATAGACTTGCAGACCAGGACGAGGAATGGACAAAGGGGTTGGGGAAGTAGGGGGGAAGGGGGGTGGGATCATCAGAGCAGGGCGGGTCGACAGGGAAAGGGGAGGGGGGGGGAGGGAAGCAACAGTAAGAAGAGTGACTCAGGGAGGGGGATGGGGGTAGGTGGGGGGGAATGGGGGTAGGTGGGGGGGATGGGGGTAGGTGGGGGGGGAGGGGTATATGTACACGCTAAAACTGGGTGGGCAGCACTAAGGCTGTCTGGTGTAGCTAATCTAGGTACAATGCGAGCGCAATCTGTCAGCTTAAGGAGGTAATGAGCTCCTGCCCGCCCCCCTCCTCCATCCCCCCCCCCACCTTAAGCCCAACGTCCCCCCCCCTCCCCTCCCCCCTCCAGAACACACACCAACAAAAACTTAAAAACCTCCAACATAATTCCTGGTAAATCATGTGTGTGTATTGTCATACTACAACAGTCACCCTGGTGGCGTGTATTGTAATTAATCAAGCATGACATGTGAAATTAAATGTATCTCTGTTTATTGTGACGGCTGCGTATTTTTATTATGAGTGGGGCTCCTGTTTATATTGTAACAATACTGATATTTCTAATATAACCAGCACTGCCAATTGTGATAAATATCCCTCCACTTGCATCGCTGAGCCATTGGAACCATTCATTAATAATAATAATAATAATAATAATAATAATAATAATAATAATAATAATAATAATAAAATCAGTAGGAGCCATGAGCCAGATTCGAACTCGCTCACTCCGGGTTCGAAGACCACCCTAGCACCCCCACCACGCCACGACAGTAAAACTATGCAATCTGGGATTCCACTGAACCCTCTAGGATTCTTGAGGCTTATAAATGAATCCCAATTTTAAGCACTGCCCCCTTCACCCCCCCCCCCAGCACTCTGGCTAATGGTCCGGCAGTTCTCCTCCAACGCTTCTCGTCAAGTTTCCGCTTGTTACAACTTGTAATAAAAGTTGGTACATCTTGGCTTAACGTGTTTATGACGCATCAGAACGTTGTTACAACTTGCTATATTGGTTGTTATAACTGGTTAGGTGTTAAAACTTGTTCGAACGTTGTAGCAACGTCGTAGTTTCGATGTGTGTTTGGCGGGATTAACGTAATGTATCCATGTGAAAATCATCACCAGTGGGCGGGTTCGAATCCTCCTCAGGGCTCCTGCTGCTTTTCTCATTGATGCATCACGTTAATGTGATTTCACTGTCCGAATAATAATAATAATAATAATAATGAGAAAATTCACTAGGGCTATGAGGTGGGCTCGAACCTACGCCCCCGGCATTGTCAGTCGCGTAGATCACTAGACACTAGACCACCGCTGACTTAAGAATCATACAACCGGATTTCTACTGAAATCACAGTAAGTCTGGAGGCTGCTGTTGCAGCCAGTCCAAGTGTTTACGTGTGACCCACAAGCACTCCGGAGGGCAGAGTGGTCCCACAAGCACTCCGGAGGGCAGAGTGGTCCCACAAGCACTCGGGTGAGAGGACAGAGTGGTCCCACAAGCACTCAGGGTGAGAGGACAGAGTGGTCCCACAAGCACTCAGGGTGAGAGGACAGAGTGGTCCCACAAGCACTCAGGGTGAGAGGACAGAGTGGTCCCACAAGCACAGAAAGGGAGGGCAGAGTGGTCCCACAAGCACTCGGGAGGGAGGACAGAGTGGTCCCACAAGCACTCGGGAGGGAGGACAGAGTGGTCCCACAAGCACAGAAAGGGAGGGAGGACAGAGTGGTCCCACAAGCACTCGGGAGGGAGGACAGAGTGGTCCCACAAGCACTCGGGAGGGAGGACAGAGTGGTCCCACAAGCACTCGGGAGGACAGAGTGGTCCCACAAGCACTCGGGAGGGAGGACAGAGTGGTCCCACAAGCACAGAAAGGGAGGGAGGACAGAGTGGTCCCACAAGCACAGAAAGGGAGGGAGGACAGAGTGGTCCCACAAGCACAGAAAGGGAGGGAGGACAGAGTGGTCCCACAAGCACAGAAAGGGAGGACAGAGTTGTCCCACAAGCACAGAAAGGGAGGGAGGACAGAGTGGTCCCACAAGCACTCAGGGTGAGAGGACAGAGTGGTCCCACAAACACTCGGGAGGGAGGACAGAGTGGTCCCACAAGCACTCGGGTGGGAGGACAGAGTGGTCCCACAAGCACAGAAAGGGAGGGAGGACAGAGTGGTCCCACAAGCACTCAGGGTGGGAGGACAGAGTGGTCCCACAAGCACTCAGGGTGGGAGGACAGAGTGGTCCCACAAGCACTCAGGGTGAGAGGACAGAGTGGTCCCACAAGCACTCAGGGTGAGAGGACAGAGTGGTCCCACAAGCACTCAGGGTGAGAGGACAGAGTGGTCCCACAAGCACTCAGGGTGGCAGAACAGAGTGCTCCCACACCAGACGCCCCACCTTCATGTTTCTGGCAGTAATTAATAACTGCCAGGTCTTAATAACTTACCTATTGACTCGGGGTTGCATCGAGTAAGACGAGACATTAAAGCCCACATATAAAGTTTGTTACGGCAATAAACCGGTTACTGGCTAAGTGGGACCGTAACAATGACCTAATTCATAACCACTGTCACGGGGCACCAATGAAGTGACGTCATACTTACTGTCACAAGAATCTATGAAGAGTGACGTCATACTGTCACGGAGGATCTGTGAAGAGTGATGTCATACTTACTGTCACGGGAGACCTGTGAAGAATTACATCATACTGCCACGGGGGGGGGGGAGAGGGGGCCTGTGAGTACTGACGTCACACATACCAACTGGGAACCAACAAACCACAATACACGAACCATATTTCAGAAGAGGTGGGGCTGGGGTGGGGTGTGGGGTGTGGGGCTGGGGTGTGGGGTGTGGGGCTGGGGTGGGGTGTGGGGGTGTGCTCTACTGTACCTGTGCACTACACGACCCAGTAGAGTGGGTGAAGGTGGGCCTGGTCTCACGCACCCACTAGTCCCAACTATTCCACTGACTGAGGAATGAGTGGGTCGGCATGGTCCCCTCACTGTCAACGGCTGCCAGAAATACTCACGGGAGTCGCTGAAGGAGAAGGAGAGGGGGTCGTCCTGGTGGAAGGACGAGGTCAGGGAGCTGATTTGCGCCGCTAGCTGACTGAACTCAGCTGATCGGACCATGGCATCACCTGTAGTGGTTGTTGAAGCAGTGGTGGTAGCAGCAGCAGTGGTGGTGGTGGTAGCAGCAGCAGTGGTGGTGGTGGTAGCAGCGTAGGAATGGATGCGTATTGGGGGAAAGAGAAACACAAGGGATACCAAGTTAGTAGCGGCAAATAAGGTATGGGAAGGGGGAATTTGGTATGTAAACACGTTGGGAGATAGATGGGTGGGTTGGTAAGGCTACGGGATACTGCTACCACGACACCTTCACAAATACAGTGAGTGACTACCATGTAAGCACCGCAAACCACACAAACCAAATCATAAACCAACACACTACCGACTCAAGCGTTGTTATATGTCACCAGACCGAGGCGGGGGAGTCACAGCCACCTTCCAAAAGCTTCACCCAAAGCAAAGGAAAATAAAAATCACGCAACATCCCAGGCAGTTCTATAGCCAGACATGTGCAGGTGCCCAGGAAGTGCCCAGGAAGTGCCCAGGAAGTGCCCAGGAAGTGCCCAGGAAATGCCCAGCTCTTGCAAACACTGCCAACATGCTCACCAGCAAGTATTGACTAATTTATAACATTTGCCTTATTGGAAAATGATTGGAGCACTCCGGGGATTCGAACCAGCGTTCTGGGGTCTCCCCCCCCCCTCCTCGCCGCTGCTTCGAATCCCCCAAGTGTGTTCCACTAACATTCACGAAATATTGTGATTGTGATTTCCTAGTGTGTATATTTTCTGTATTCGTATTGTTTTACTGAACAAAATTATCAGTCTCAATCATTTATTTCGTTCTATGCATCTATCAAAAACTACATACACATTATTATATATATATATATATATATATATATATATATATATATATATATATATAAACTTTTCAAAAGTTGAAATTCCTGGAAGCGTACGAAAGCTATCCATTGTAAAACCATATACTAATAATGATAATAACAATGATAATAATAATCGAAAGAGCTTTGGCATCACACGAGTGGGGTCCACAGTTCGAGTCTCCGAGAACCCAGGTGAATGAATTAATAATAATAATAATAATAATAATAATAATAATAATAATAATAATAATAATAATTATAATAATAATGACATCGGAGGTAAACAGAAATGACAGGTACATGAACAATGCGACGGGTAAAGAGACAGCCGGATACACACTGGCGGACAGAGCACAGCTCACCACACACAACAGTAGACCACAACCACACAACAGTAGACCACAACACACAACAGTAGACCACAACACACAACAGTAGACCACAACACACAACAGTAGTCCACAACACACAACAGTAGTCCACAACACACAACAGTAGACCACAACCACACAACAGTAGTAAACAACACACAACAGTAGACCACAACACACAACAGTAGACCACAACACACAACAGTAGTCCACAACACACAACAGTAGACCACAACCACACAACAGTAGACCACAACCACACAACAGTAGACCACAACCACACAACAGTAGACCACAACCACACAACAGTAGACCACAACACACAACAGTAGACCACAACCACACAACAGTAGTCCACAACACACAACAGTAGACCACAACCACACAACAGTAGTCCACAACACACAACAGTAGACCACAACCACACAACAGTAGTAAACAACACACAACAGTAGACCACAACACACAACAGTAGACCACAACACACAACAGTAGTCCACAACACACAACAGTAGACCACAACCACACAACAGTAGTCCACAACACACAACAGTAGACCACAACCACACAACAGTAGTCCACAACACACAACAGTAGACCACAACCACACAACAGTAGACCACAACCACACAACAGTAGTCCACAACCACACAACAGTAGTCCACAACACACAACAGTAGACCACAACCACACAACAGTAGTCCACAACACACAACAGTAGACCACAACCACACAACAGTAGACCACAACACACAACAGTAGACCACAACACACAACAGTAGTCCACAACACACAACAGTAGTCCACAACCACACAACAGTAGACCACAACACACAACAGTAGACCACAACCACACAACAGTAGTCCACAACACACAACAGTAGACCACAACACACAACAGTAGTCCACAACACACAACAGTAGACCACAACACACAACAGTAGACCACAACCACACAACAGTAGTCCACAACACACAACAGTAGACCACAACACACAACAGTAGACCACAACCACACAACAGTAGACCACAACCACACAACAGTAGTCCACAACACACAACAGTAGTCCACAACACACAACAGTAGACCACAACACACAACAGTAGACCACAACCACACAACAGTAGACCACAACACACAACAGTAGACCACAACACACAACAGTAGTCCACAACACACAACAGTAGACCACAACCACACAACAGTAGACCACAACCACACAACAGTAGACCACAACCACACAACAGTAGTACACAACACACAACAGTAGTCCACAACACACAACAGTAGACCACAACACACAACAGTAGACCACAACCACACAACAGTAGTACACAACACACAACAGTAGTCCACAACACACAACAGTAGACCACAACACACAACAGTAGACCACAACCACACAACAGTAGTCCACAACACACAACAACTAACGCTAAATCAGATATACATCATTTTTAATATTACATTAAACAAAACTAAATTGTATTTGTTGATGATTCGCCAAATTACTAAGACGGATGCTGGCAGAGCGAGCGAGCGAGCCAGCCAGCCAGCCAGCCAGCCAGCGAGCCAGCGAGCCAGCCAGCCAGCGAGCCAGCCAGCCAGCGAGCCAGCCAGCGAGCGAGCGAGCCAGCGAGCCAGCCAGCCAGCGAGCCAGCCAGCCAGCCAGCGAGCCAGCCAGCCAGCCAGCGAGCCAGCCAGCCAGCGAGCCAGCCAGCCAGCGAGCCAGCCAGCCAGCGAGCCAGCCAGCCAGCCAGTGAGCCAGCCAGCGAGCCAGCCAGCCAGCCAGCCAGCCAGCGAGCCAGCCAGCCAGCGAGCGACCGAGCCAGCGAGCGAGCGAGCCAGCCAGCGAGCCAGCCAGCCAGCGAGCCAGCCAGCCAGCGAGCCAGCCAGCCAGCGAGCCAGCCAGCCAGCGAGCCAGCCAGCCAGCGAGCCAGCCAGCCAGCCAGCCAGCGAGCCAGCCAGCCAGCGAGCCAGCCAGCCAGCGAGCCAGCCAGCCAGCGAGCCAGCCAGCCAGCGAGCCAGGCAGCCAGCGAGCCAGCCAGCCAGCCAGCCAGCCAGCGAGCCAGCCAGCCAGCGAGCCAGCCAGCGAGCGAGCCAGCCAGCGAGCCAGCCAGCCAGCCAGCCAGCTAGCCAGCCAGCCAGCCAGCCAGCCAGCCAGCCAGCCAGCCAGCCTCTCTCTCTCTCTCTCTCTCTCTCTCTCTCTCTCTCCACTACTACGCTACACCCTCAGTGCCTGTGTGCTAAAGTGGTTGCGGAGCTTCAGTTACGACCACTAAACTTTAACATGAAATTAAACCAAATCGATGACTTTACTCAAAACAAACTACGGGGAGGCATTACTGAACTTGTGTGTTGGGAAGTATTGTGCAGTGGTGCATACTGATGATGGCTACCGTGTGCATACTGATCATGGCTACTGTGTACATACTGATCATGGCTACCGTGTGCATACTGATCATGGCTACTGTGTACATACTGATCATGGCTACTGTGTACATACTGATCATGGCTACCGTGTGCATACTGATCATTGCTACTGTGTACATACTGATCATGGCTACTGTGTACATACTGATGATTGTACGAAGTTAACTATGGCTGTAATGATGAAAGTGAATCCCAGCAACTAGCACCTCTCATAATCCCCAGCGGTCAACACTCCCACACTACCCTGGCCATCAACACGCTCGTTTTAAATTAAATTTTGCCCCGAGGGGCGAGTTTATTGGGCAGCGCCACCCATCCTGTGAGTGGACACACCGCCATAGTGACAGTATTGGGCAGCGCCACCCATCCTGTGAGTGGACACACCGCCATAGTGACAGTATTGGGCAGCGCCACCCATCCTGTGAGTGGACACACCGCCATAGTGACAGTATTGGGCAGCGCCACCCATCCTGTGAGTGGACACACCGCCATAGTGACAGTATTGGGCAGCGTCACTCATCCTGTGAGTGGACACACCGCCATAGTGACAGTATTGGGCAGGGCCACCCATTCTGTGAGTGGACACACCGCCATAGTGACAGTATTGGGCAGCGCCACCCATCCTGTGAGTGGACACACCGCCATAGTGACAGTATTGGGCAGCGCCACTCATCCTGTGAGTGGACACACCGCCATAGTGACAGTATTGGGCAGCGCCACCCATCCTGTGAGTGGACACACCGCCATAGTGACAGTATTGGGCAGCGCCACTCATCCTGTGAGTGGACACACCGCCATAGCAGCATATGTACAACACTCCCCAATAGGAAGAAAACCCGCTGGGTTGTTCATCCTGTCACTTGTAGGACAGACGTAAATCTGTGTATTTATGATTGTTGGTTAGATTAGCATTTTAAAAGCACTACAATCACCGTCTGTGGTTGATTGTTTAAAAAATCGCAGAATTATATGTTGAACAGATCCGTGATCCTGTCCTTGGAGGACAGAAGAAAATATATATATGCTGGTTAGCATTGTAAATGTGTGGCCACGTTTGTGGTAGAAAAAATGTACCCAAACGTAGCTGGGACTTGCTTAACTGTCTCAAGTGAACAGCTTCTTAAGCAAGAAGATTAACATTGCTAATCCTTTAAATCTTACGTTATCTTGAGAGTGCAAAATGTGGGAGTGTTTTAAGAACAGTATTATTTGACAAATGGTATTTTCCTAACTCAAACAATGTGGGGTTTATTATTCTACACATATTTCTAATGTCTCGTTACTGTACTCTCGTAGATGTTCACAGTCTCTCAGGTAGTGGTCAAGGCGGTGGCCATCACTTTCACTGCAGATTCTGCAACTCCGCTGCTCAACTGTTTCCATTCCGAATCTTCATGGATAGTTGTATTCAAGACGGATTCTTGCCATTACTGATTCTCTCCCGCGGCCGCCGCCTCTTCGTCCATAATGACTGGGATTGCCAGCTGCAACCATGTTGTACCAGCGTACTGGTTCACTGGTGTGTTCTTCTATCCTCCTTTCCTCAGTTACCTTGTCACGGTGATGTTGCCTGATGATACCTCTAATTTGTAGCAGAGTCCTGGGTATGAAGTACTCAATGTGGTCTCCTTCAGCACCTTCAGCAGCCAGCACATCTGCTCGTTCATTTCCACAGATTCCAACATGGGAGGAGATCCACAGAAATGTGAAGACTCTTCCCTGATCTCGTGTGAGAGCGGTGGCTAACACTCATATACCACCCTGGCCATCCACACCCTCGTGTGAGAGCGATGGTCAACATGATACAACTCTTCTCGTCTCAAAAGTCGCCTTATGCGACGCGTGCTGGTCCGGGTGCCTCGTCTAGGATGCTCCGGATAAGGGAGTTTAAATCTACTTGATGGGGTTCTGGGAGTTGTTCTACTCCCCAAGCCCGGCCCGAGGCCAGGCTTGACTTGTGAGAGTTTGGTCCACCAGGCTTGGAGCGGCCCGCAGGCCCACATACCTACCACAGCCCGGTTGGTCCGGCATTCCTTGGAGAAAACTATCTAGTTTTCTCTTGAAGATGTGCACGGTTGTTTCTGCAATATTTCTTATACTTGCTGGGAGGATGTTGAACAACCGTGGACCTCTGATGTTTATACAGTGTTTATAAAGTAAACACGAAGCTCATGGTATATCGGGCTGAAATCACCCTAGAATCCCTATCTGACTAATTTGTTATATTCCATCATCAGCTGTCTGTTCAATAGGCCTACTATTATTATCTTATGTCTTATGTATACTACTTGGGGGATAGGTAGGGGGGAAGGGAGGGGGGAGGTAAGAACAGGTGATGTCACCAGACGGTGGGGGGGGGGGCGGGGATCAACCGGTGTCTGAGCCAACAGTGTGACCAAACACGCTGGACGGCGGCAGGGTAACACTCTTCACACTGGCCTTGGACAGATACAATCCTGGCAGCAGTCACCTGCTATAATTTAGTGCTGATTTAAACATTTACACACGCGCATGCGAGTGTGCCCACGCTCAGTAGATTGACAGTTGAGACGCGGGACCAAAGAGCCGAAGCTCAACCCCCGCAAACACAATTAGGTGAGTAAACACACACACTTATTCATATTACACACATTACTATTCATACTTTTAAAACTAGGTAGAAAAAACAACCGATAGCTGAAAAGGCGGGATCCAACCAAGAGTCAATGCTCGATCCTGCAAGCACAAATAGGTGAGTACAAATAGGTGAATACACACACACACACACACACACACACACACACACACACACACACACACACACACACACACACACACACACACACACACACACACACACACGAAATACATGCCAGTAATGGGCATGTGTGAGCGGCATCCTGGGGCCCATTCCTAAACAATACACAATAAAACACATCACAGCAACGTGACACATCTCCGAGACGATCTCTGGAGCAGGGGGGGAGCCCCATGACGCTGGTCCTCACCCCCTCCCTCCCCTCCCCACCTGCTCCAAACATCTCCTCAACTCCCACTAATGCCGTCATACACAAATTAATGAACCAATGCGTGATGAATAATAAGAGCAATAATAACAATAAACCTCGTAATCCAAACAAAAATAATAGTGTGTGAAGCGAGAGGTGGCGAGGGCCTGGAGCCTCAGTGCGCATGCGTGTGGAGCTGGACTCCTCGGGTGTAAACACAACCAATCAAGCAACCCAACACAATGTAGCCGTGATTAACACAAATAATAGGAGCAAAATACCAAATAATTAGGGGGGGTGGAGTTAATTACAAGCTAAAGCAAATGGAGAGGGCGTGGGGGGGGGGGCGCCAGAGGGGCGCGGGGTGTCCCGTGGGCGTGTACCTGGGGAGCCTGGCGAGGTGAGGGTGGAGCGTCCCTTGCGCCGGAGGGTGGACACTCTGCTCACCGGCTCACTGTAGCAGCGACCTGTTGGGAGGGACGGGTGAGGGACGCCACGGACGGGGGACGGGGCAACACACCAGGTGGCAGCGGGACGTCATTTTTGGAGTGGTGGGACGATTGTGAGGGCGGGAATTAGGAATTGAGAATTGTGAGGGATAGGAATTAGAGCAGGTGTTGGGACGGTTGGGTGGGTGTAGGGGGGGGGGTATGGGTGTGACAGCGACGAGGGGTGGGCGGGAGGGGATGGGCGGAGTGAAGAGGAGGGAATGGAAAAGGGTGGGAGAGAAAATGAGAACAACACGTGAGAATGAGGAGGGCCAGAAGCAGCCAAGAGCGGCAGGCCACATACACATGTATTGCGTCACCACCCACCACGTGGTCCACACCCACAACATAAACACCACGTGACACGTGGACGCCCATGTCCACACACACACCTGGGTCATGGACACACCAATACTACAGTAAACCCCAATCAAGGGACACCTTGTACACATTTATTATTATATAATATATATATATATATATATATATATATATATATATATATATATATATATATATATATATATATATATATATATATATATATATATATATATAATGTCGTACCTAGTAGCCAGAACGCACTTCTCAGCCTACTATGCAAGGCCCGATTTGTCTAATAAGCCAAGTTTTCATGAATTAATTGTTTTTCGACTACCTAACCTAACCTAACCTAACCTTTTCGGCTACCTAACCTAACGTAAAAAGATAGGTTAGGTTAGGTAGGGTTGGTTAGGTTCGGTCATATATCTACGTTAATTTTAACTCCAATAAAAAAAATTGACCTCATACATAATGAAATGGGTAGCTTTATCATTTCATAAGAGAAAAATTAGAGAAAATATATTATTTCAAGAAAACTTGGCTTATTAGGCAAATTGGGCCTTGCATAGTAGGCCGAGAAGTGCGTTCTGGCTACTAGGTACGACATATATATATATATATATATATATATATATATATATATATATATATATATATATATATATATATATATATATATATAAATTAATTAAACCGGAGAGAGTGAGGAGTAGGTACTTAAGAAAAGGAGGTAGTTGAGAGAGGGGGGGGAGGTAGTTAAAAATGGAAAAAGAGAAATAATGATTCAAATTAGAAATTACTGGCAACTGACTATTCAACAGACCCCTTCCTCCCTATTTCTTGTTCTCCTACTCCCATTCCCTCTACCTGACACCCTCCACTCCCTTCCCACCCCTAATTCTCCCCACTACATTAACAACCACAACATAAGGGGGGTTAAAGTGATCAACTCCCAACACCACTACACGCCCACACTCCCCCACGCCCACACTCCCCCACGCCAAGCACTAGACTACTTGAGGTTATCTTGAGGTTATCTTGAGTTGATTTCGGGGCTTTAGTGTCCCCGCGGCCCGGTCCTTGACCAGGCCTCCACCCCCAGGAAGCAGCCCGTGACAGCTGACTAACACCCAGGTACCTATTTACTGCTAGGTAACAGGGGCATTCAGGGTGAAAGAAACTTTGCCCATTTGTTTCTGCCTCGTGCGGGAATCGAACCCGCTCCACAGAATTACGAGTCCTGCGCGCTATCCACCAGGCTACGAGGCCCCTATATACTCTGTGCCGCTCTTGGCTAGTGAAGCACAGCAGATGAGAATCACAGTGACCGACATACGAATCAAGAAAGCTGCAGAAAGCCTGTTGAACCATACGAGGCAGCTCCTATTTATACTCGCCCAAACTTGTACACGTGTTGGTCTAGCCTACGCTCTAAGTGATGGTCCATAACGTGTGAATTTCCAAGCGTGTTCGCGCCAATAATGACGGGGATTTTAACCCGAACAAACTCAAGTTGACGAGAGTAAGAACAGGCGAACAAGAGGCCAGAATAATTCCACACAAGGAAGGGAAAGAAGCTAACAAGGTCAGCAAGACAGGAGGACCTGGGGACAACGTTAAGGAACACACAATTATACACACATCAACAGCATATGCTAAGCTGCCGCGCGTTTCTAGTACGAAATCAAGTAGATGTAGATGAGGAGACAGAGATATTATGGGTCGCATCTATCCATAGACTTAAAACCAAATACAAGACAAAATAGGGTCGGGAGACATTGCATAAGAGGGCTGCCAGCTGGCAAAGCAGAGCCCAAGAGCCGAAGCTTGGCCATTCAAACTCTTCTTGGGCAACACACACACAATTTTACACTTCCATTTTGCTGAAATGAAAAAAAAAATGCAATCTATACAGTAGGACACAAAAATGTGCCCAGGACCAGAATGCAGAGAATGGCCTAAGCAATTGCAACGCCCGAACAACGATGCTCTATATGTCTTCTTTTTTCCCCTCCTGTATTTTGGGTATATTTTCCCCTCCTGTATTTTTTGTATTTTGGGTTTCCTGTATTTTTTTTGCTTTGTTTTCAAGCACACAAAACACGCTAGGAGGTGCCGTTAGCGGCGACTATAACCAAAATGCAAATGAGAGGGAGCCAAACTCACCGCTCAAGCTCCCACCAACGACCCTTTTGGCCATTTGTGGAATCATCGGTGCTACTGTGGTAATTCCCTGCTCGCTACTCTGGTTGGCTGCTTCGTTTCCGAAGGCGCAACTACGGACCGAATATTTTCACGGTCCAATAACAGCGGTTATTGGACGTTCTTCCGGTGAAACAGCAAGGGAAGGTGATGACACAGGACGGACGCACAGACGGACGGACGCACGCACAGACGGATGGACGCACGCACAGACGGATGGACGCACGCACAGACGGATGGACAGACGGATGGACGCACGCACAGACGGATGGACAGACGGATGGACGCACGCACAGACGGATGGACGCACGCACAGACGGATGGACGCACGCACAGACGGATGGACGCACGCACAGACGGATGGACGCCCGCACAGACGGATGGACGCACGCACAGACGGATGGACGGACGCACAGACGGATGGACGGACGCACAGACGGATGGGCGGACGCACAGACGGACGGACGCACAGACGGATGGAAGCCCAGACGGATGGACGGACGCACAGACGGACGAACGCACAGACGGACGGACGCCCAGACGGACGAACGGACGGACAGACGGACGGACGCACAACGGACGGATGGACAGATGGACGGACGCACAACGGACGGATGGACGGACGCACAACGGACGGATGGACGGACGCACAGACGGACGGCCGGACGCACAACGCACAGACGGACGGAAGCGCACACATTCAGAACCAATGTATTAGACGACCGACATTTGGCAAGACTTTGATCCAGAAATGAATTGGTGATTGGTGAGAGCAGAGGCCAGTGCAAGCTGGGGAGGTTAGGGCGACAACTCTCACGACATAAGAAAGATCTAGAAGTAGACACCAGTTATAGCCACACACACAAAGCAACACAACCACAACAGCGGTTTGGAACAGGTGTTTGCAAGCCGGAAAACACCTGCGAACCTTGCAAGAACTTGCAGCATAAGGAGGTGTTTAGGATACCACTACCAGAGGAATATTGGGACCTAGCATGCAGCCCCACCACAAAGAGCAACAGGTATATACAACAGAGTTCAGAGATACTCGCCACAACACTGCTGCCTCACCTGAGAAGGATGGAATACAAAGAGAGGGAACTGGATCTTACTACAATAGGAAAGAGACAGAAAAGACTAAACATGATCGTTACGTATAAGATCCTTAGGGGCACTGAATAAGTAAATAAGGCTGAAATATCAGCACAAACAGCAGAAGACCGAGCAGGGACGGAGGAGAACTAGACAAGATGAGCCATAAAGATGTAAGAAAACATTTATTTATCCTGACAGTGATGAGAAAAGAGAATGTGTTAGTGGAGGAGGCAGCCGAGGCTAACTCCATCCACAGATTTAAAGTAGACCTGTATGAAGGCTTGTGGATTGGGAGACATTGCATCCAACGACTGATAAATAAAACGCTAAAGCCTAAGAGTTAGCGGTCATTTCTGCAGGCCCAGTTAGACGTGTATAATTAGATGAAGGGAGTTGCAACACACAGACGAACGAGCACATCACATTGAGAATAACAGGCTGTAAGTGGAGAGGCAACTTGACACACACACAAGGATACATCACCAGTACAAGAGCGGGTGAAGACACCGAGGATGTGTGGAGAGACTCACAAGTGTATGAGGAATAAACAGACGACACCAAGAGGTCTTCACAACTCAGCGAACTACGAGGAGGAAGCGCCAAGCCATTGCGACTATATTGCACAGAGAAGGGGTCAGGATAAGGATTTGGGATGGAACGGGGGAAAGGAATGATACCCAACCACTTGGACGGTCGGGGATTGAACACCGACCTGCATGTAGCGAGACCGTCGCTCTACCGTCCAGCCCAAGTGGTTGGGCACACAACTCAGCGAGAGGAGGTGATACACTAAGTGGGAGGATGTCGCACCAAAGAACGTTGGAGAACACTAAGATTGCCAAGGAAAAAGGAAGCACAGTAGCCATGAGACCACGCAAGGTCTTACAGTGAGTACTTAGAGGAGCTGAAGTACTTCGCAAGACACTTGAAGAGATATAAGCAACTCACTGGGAACAGGGCAACAACCAGATAGTTGGAAAACAGCACAGTGTCAATATTGCGATAAAGACACAGACAGACAGAAGGTACTAATCTGCCGGCTCTTGTCCTTCACATACCAGGTAAGCTGATACAAAGACAGTAAGGGAAAAATAGAACATCTGTAGTGGACATTTTTAACCAAACATCAACATGGATTCACTGAAGGCAAACCTTGCCTTAAACAGGGCGGCGGAGATGACAAAAGACACAGTAGGTAGGGTTGACTGCAAATTTTGTGACTTCCAGAAGGCATCTGAGTCGGCGTGTCACATGAGAGTGGCACACACAAGTTGAGGAAGGAGGCTGGAGTGCCAGGGTAGGTGCTCTAATGGGTAAGATCGCAGGTAAACTGTAGAATGCATAGTCACAGTGAGGGAAAAGTCACCAGGGTGGCAAGACACAAATACATCACATTTTCTAATGATGATAACAGAGTCTATCACATGTGGATTCCATCTCATGCTGGCCTCCGAACGCATGATAGAACTGATGAGTTCGCCAAAGAATCTCCCTTCAAAGAAAGAGTTGACGTTAACCTTGGAGTACCTATACGCAGCCTTTGAACCATAATACATTAAAAACGTCAACAAAACTTTGCAGACTTTGCCAAGGTTACACTAGCAACCATCTACCACCACACACGTTCACGCAAGACCCTAACAGTGTTGTACACTATGTCATACACAAATGTTTGACCAATTATTGAAAACCCACCTGCATAGAACTGTTACATGGTGAAGTCCATGATGAATTTGAAGAAAGTGGCAGGTATGCAACCCAATCAATCCCAGAGTTACAATGTTTGAGTAATGGTGAACAGACGTTTCACCTGTCACAATAAGGTCACTGATGGTGAATACACCAAATATTCCTCTAAGCATTCACTAGCTTCACTATCTTGAAAAAGACTCTCAGCCCTAAAGGACAATATGGTTTATCCCTTGAGGATGGGTCACTCTTAGTCTGTCTCCTATCCCTTGGGAGAACAGGACCTTCACAAGCCACATTCAGGTGGCCACCGGGTGGTCCTCGGAGAAAACAATTTCGACAAATTTAGAAAGTTAAGAGGAAAGAATTATTATGGGAGACATTACTACTACACACAGTGTCGCCCTCGTAACTAAATACCCTCAACCCCACCAACACCCTCACCCCCCCACCAACACCCTCACCATTACCCCCCACCAACACCTTCACCCCCCCACCAACACCCTCACCCCCCCCCACCAACACCCTCACCCCCCCCACCAACACCCTCACCCCCCCCACCAACACCCCCCCCCCCTACAAACAACACCCCCCCCCCACCACCAACACCCTCACCATTACCCCCCACCAACAACACCCTCACCCCCCCCCCACCAACACACACACCATTACCCCCACCAACATCACAGTCACACCATTACCCTACCAAGACCATCACCATTAACCCCACCAAGACCATCACCATTACCCCCAACAACAACACCCTCACCCCCAACAACAACACCCTCACCATTACCCCCACCAACAACACCCTCACCCCCCCCCACCAACACACACACCATTACCCCCACCAAGACCATCACCATTACCCCCTCCACCAACACCCTCAGCCCCACAGAACCCCGACCACCACCCCCGACACTGACCTTCGTTCTCGTCCTCGTCGTCGAAGTCCTCGAGCGGCGCGATGTCGTTGGGAGTGTTCATGGACATGAGGGAGGCCATACTCTGCATGTCCTCGTCCCTGGCGGGAGGAGACGCACACGGCATTAGTCACACACACACACACTCACCCTCAAACTTTAACATATAAATGATGCAAATGCTACGGGGCCGAACTTGGGGAACAAAACAACTCTCGAAACCAACTCTACAGATAAACACACACACAGTACCGGCCAATCCGGTGTTTGAAAGTACCCCCATGCTTCCAACACCGGAAGTACGGTGAAACAAAGACCTTCCCCCCCCCCCCTCAATAGCTACAGCATTGCGTTACTAGATGCTGTCACGTGACATGTTGATGACGTCGATGACGTTACAGATGATGTCACGTCACCCTTAACACTCCACCTCCTGGTCCGAGTCATACTCACACCTTAGAAACATGGCAGACGACCCACAGTCCCTTTCCTCCCCTCCCATTGGAGCCAAGATACTCCCATCTCAGAGCTCACTGAGATCTGGTGATGGTTGTGGGGGCGCCTAATTTGACGCGAAAGTCGCGACTTACGGAAGCCGGACCTCAAAAGAAGATATAATTACATTTTCAAAATTGAGTGGCGTGTGAAGGAGAAGGGATTCTGCGTGACAATTCTTGCCACACTTGATGGAGTGCTGGTGATTCGGGACTACTTGTGCTCTTCAAGGCTGGGACGTGTGTGTGTGTGTGTGGGGGGGGGGGAGTCGTCGTCGTCGTCGTCTTAGGCTCTGAACATTTCCTCTGACGCACAGGCCCGGTAAAGGACGATCGGCCATGACAAAGGCAAGAGGTGTAGTGGCAAGTGAATAGCAATTCGGATACTCCTAGTTGGAAAGATAATTAACCCAAAGTGATAAGTGGTAGCCTAAAGTGACATAGGGGCCACGATGAACATTTAGTGACAGGTGTTGCTAAGTGGTAGGTAGCCAAGTTAAAAGTGGTCATATTAAGTAACCTGCAGTGATTTTTTTCCTTAAATGAATTGCGGCATGTCCAAGTGGAGCGAAACCCCCCTGTTGTACCTTAACCTTTCATGGGCTGGTCTCCCAGAGCAGCCGTAGACCAGTGCGAGGGGCAGTAAAGCTCAATTCTGGCGACAGGACTCACCATACGGACCATTAAGGAGACTAACAGTGGTATGGCAGGAACGAGGATGGCCGAGAGAGACCAGTATCACTGCTGTCAGTGAATTATATTACCCGGTCGGAGGACCCACCGGAGGGCTTGATCGGCATGCCAGCCAGGCGGCGGCGCGTACCTGCTAGTTATAGTGGTGGTGATTTGTAAATGGTGTATGTAAGCAACCCGTTCTCGCACTTTCGTATAGTCAATATTGACTTATTAAGTACGTGCATATGTGACAAACTAATTTATTGTGAATATTTTAGTTTATCTTCAAAAGCTTCATAGAAAACACCGACCTTACTTAACCTTCTTAGTATGTTAACATAAGCATCTTATTGCTTCGTAATTACAATTATTACTTAACCTATTATAGGTAT